CCATGTCAGCCCCTCTTCTACCCTAAGCGGAGAGGGGGATAAGTACTGCAAACAAGGCTGAAGAGAACTCATGGAAGACTTAGAGCAAGATAAAGGACGTAGTTAGGGGAAAACCACCCTTCTCGTGCTTTTCTTTTTTTCTTTGTTTAATTGTTAATTGTCTATTGAAACACAAGATTCTAAGTATAAAATAATGGCAAGACAAACAGACCTTATGTGATAATTGGTTTAGGGTTATTCAAATGTGGAGTTTTTAGAAGGGTCACAAATGACTTCAGATAACACATTTCCAAAATGACTCTCCGGATGCCATTATGTGACATCAAATGCATGTAATCTCTTGCTATAATGTCTTTCATTTTTATTCTGTGAAATTACTAAAGATTATAAAAAATAAAAATTTAATTATGAGTTAAAAACAAGGCCATTAGCCAATATAAAGAAATACATAATACCACATAATATAACAGAGAGCAGTGGTGATTGGCATTTGTTAATACAGGCTGCCCTTATGAGTGTATTTTGTTTCAGAGTCAGACCATAAACAACTCTGTTTTACTACATATTTATTTAAACCCAGTGAAATCCGGTCCTGGTTTCTAAATATTCATGCATGAACTAACATTCCCACTGGGATTATCACCTGTACGTTCAGTGATCCTTAGGCAAATATATTGTATACTGTTAATGTGTTACTTTTACTTACATTCCTAATATATCAGTATATTTTTCTGGTAATCTGGTAAATCTTGTAAATAAACCTTCCACAAAATATTTTATAAAAATAAATATAAATAAGGGCTGTCAAATGGGGTATTGTTTGTCCCAAAGATTGAGAAATTGCCTGAATTTCAAGAGCTATTTAATCACATTCTAAGCTCTCAGTGAGATTATTATTTAAGATGGATTTTAAAACTCAAGAACAAAATATTTTTGTTGTTATTTATGTAATATGTTAATAATACTAATCAGCAAAGCGAGAAAAACTTATCTTCAGATTCAATAAAATGTATTTGAACATTCTAATTTTGTCTGAGGTGTGATCATTTTTGGCCAAAACTTATCAATTATCGCCTTGGTTATTTGCTTTATTACATGGGTCCAAAATTTCCAGCGTTAGTATTTACAGAATTATTTTGTGACCAGAGACCTTGAAACAAAACCAGTTTAAATCCAATGGTAAGAAAATCTATTCTGAGCTGAACAAAGGCCACAAATCTATCCAAGAATATGCAACACTCCATACAGTAGATTATGATAATGTGTCTGGCTATCTGCACACACTACCTATCATTCTGTTTTGGTAAAATATTTTTCCCATGTTGCCTTTATCTTTCTTGTTTTGTCCATGATCACTTCACAGTTAACTACCTGAATAGCATGTTCTCCCCAGAGCCTATAAAACCTAACCCTCTTCCACTCACTGTTCTTCATCACAACAAAGCATTGTGTAGAGTAGCTTTCTGATGCAGAGCTCGACAAGTGTGGAATAACCATTCAGAAAACATCAACTGTTCCTCAAGTCTGAAATCTCCAAAAGGAGCGAACTACCTCTCTGGATCATTATTGTATCAACAGCTAATGTTTAGCTATTTGTTTTGTTTTAATATGTAACCTGGCACATTACCCTTTGCCCCAAAAAAAGACTGAACTCATTGTGGCATGTATTCAGCAAGGTGCTGAAAACATTCCTTAGATTCCAAGTCAGTGTTGACGTGATAGCATCATACAGTAGTTGCAGATTTGCCAGCTCCGTATTTATACTTTGAGTCTCATTTTCACCACATTCCAAAGTTCTTCTACTGGACTGATATTTAGTGACTGTAGAAATAGGTGGACGACGTGAAATTCATTTTTGTGTTAGTATATTTAGCTTGAGGTGATGTTTATGTTGTCAAATGGCATTTTATCCTGTTGGAAAAAGTCAATAAAAGGTGAGTTGACTGCATCTATAAAGAGGTGCGCATGGTCAGCATTAGGTAGACTGTGGCATTAAAACAATACTCATTTGGTATTAAGAGTCTTCACAAAGGCCAAGGAAAGAATTGCCATGCGATTACACCATCAACACCACCCCAACTGTTAATACAAAGCCGGAAGCATGGATTCATGTTGTTAATGACAAATATTAACCAGACCATATATATATTACAGCAGATATTGAGATTTGTTTGATCAGGTGATTTTGTTCCTATCATATGCTGCCATTTATTTGCACTTGCCCACTGTAGCCTCAGTTTCCTGTTGTTAGTTAACTGGTGTAGAACCCATGTGGTCTTCTGTTGCATCACATTCATTTTAAGGTTTGTGCATTTAGAGATACTATCTTCATAGGAATATTGTATAAGACGTGTGTGCTTAATTTAACGGCACCTTCTTGCCAGCTAGAACCAGTTTGATGATTCTGCTCTTATACCTCTCATTAACAGAGTTTTTCTGCCCACAGAATTGCCACTTATTGGATTTCTTTTGCTCTATTTCTTCTAAACTCAAAACACTGTTGTTCATGAAAATAAAAAGAGACCAACGTTTTTTTAAAAGATTCTCAAACCGCCATGTCAGAAACCTTGAACCATTCCATAATAAAAAATTACAGTAACAGGGCTACAAGTGTACCTAATGAGGAGTCCAAATAGTCCTGGAAAACTTGACGAATACAATACCTAGCAGTAATAAATTATTCAAATGTCCGGGTGACATCTCAATATTCTTCCTAGCTAAACAATTTATAAAACAAATAAATAACTATTCTTAGTTCTGCTTATTTTTTTGTTTGTTTGTCTATGGTAACGGATAATGTATGACAATCGGATGCATTTGAACAATCCCGAAAGCATGATACCCTTCGTTTTCTATATTTCTCTAGAACTATACATTGAATGATATTCTATGATACTATATTAATATGAAAATAAAGATATTGTTATTCTTTTGTAGCCTATGTCATTTCAAAATGGTTCATAGTTTGCAGAAAAGCAGCACGATTTTGATATACAGATGTACTTTAAATCTTGCTGAATTGTAGGATCACAAATGTGTCTTTCCTTTCTGGTGGGTTTATCTATTTATAATCATTTGGCAATATTACTTACATCTTGATGCTAAGCAGACCAGGAGCAGAGAACAGGTTTGCAGTTAGATTGATAAACAGATGCTAAGTCGATGTGACACAGCTGCTACTGCTGAGCTAGAAAAAACAGGTCAAGGTTATTAGTAGAAAGTACGGCTCTGTCTCATTGCTGAGAGCCAGAAGACCCACGTGGAGTCAGGGTTCTCTTCCATAGGATTTTGTTTGTGGTTACAAAGGACAGGGAACATTTGAAGAATTTGCTTTAATTACTCTTTCCTGGTCCCTTCCCAAATATGAAAGGAGATCGGAGTTCAGCTATGGAAAGGATTTACTTTTCTAGCAGTTTAATATTTTTCTATATTCTTTCCCTTTTTTGGGGCACGAGATTGACTGTTTGGAATACATTGCTCACAAAGGAACCTTGTATATCTTCACATTTTAAGGCACTTATTACAGGGCCAGGATTAATACAGGTGTTTAAGTAGATACATTTAAATAATAAGGAACAGGTTTTTTTTTGGTGATTTCATATATCCCAGGACTTAGGATTTTGTACCTGTCATCCCTATGGTCTTAACACCCATCACCCCTTTGACAATTACAGGGTTGGTGTCTTCAGAATACTTGAAAATTTTGGCCTAGTGGCCAAATTACAAAGTACAAGTACAGACAAATAGCCTTGCTATGCACATGAAATACCCAGAGCTCTGTAGAGATGGCCCAACGCACTCAGAGCATGCAAAGTATGGAGTCTGCTGACACTCAAGGTTATGGTGTCATACACAACATAGCAGAGCATTTGTGGAGATATATGAATGACTAACAGCCACAGACTCTGTTTGCCACTTCCATTTATAACAACCAGCATCCATTGTGAATTTCTTAAACACTGTATCATTTTAATGTCACTTGTAAACACCTCCAGGGACATTATTGTAATTCATCATAAGGTGGTAGACTTGCAAAACCCAGATACTGCAGTCCACTGGGAAATATATCAGCTCAAGGCCACTCACCATGCATAAACTCACACCACAAACACCACAAACACAAACACACAAAATTAGGCCCGGTCCTCAAACATCCACTAATCCAACAACAATGGCTGGAGTATTCAACAGCAAAAATACATAGAACAAAAACAAACAAAAACATTGTCCTGTGGACTATCCCCAAATCCCATGTCCATTTAAATAACAGGAGGCTTTTAGTAACATTCCAGTAGCAACTAAAGTGGAAGCTGACATGCTCATTTAAGGCAAGCCTCATAGGTGAGTCTTACACTAACACTCCACCTTGCAGCTTTAGCTAAAAGACAAAATCGCTAATGAGATTATATGAAATCCTAAACACTAATATATGAAATACACACTTATTAAACACCAATGGGGAGCACATATGGTGGGCGGCAGTACTGTAACATGGCTGTGTAATACAAAAACAAATACAAGTCGTCTCACTCTCGCAGTACTGTGCCTAAAGACATCCAAACACACCTCTTGCTATTTTAATCATTTTTTTTTTTTTTGCTTTTGTTGTGTTAGAGAGTAACAAAGATTTCATCTTACACACTGAGAAGATTGCAATGAGAAAAATAAGTCAGGGTAAAACAAGTGTGTATATATCTGCACATTTTTAGAGAAAAGAAAAGTTAACAGTATATGAGGAGTAAGTCAATCATTATGACAGGTAGTATATATGCACTGAGAGTGGTCTTACACTAGCGTAAGTGTTAATAAAAAATAGAAGATATAGCATGCTTGACTTGTCAGAGTGATACCCCCAGGATGCCCCCTTAGTAGAAAAACAAGAGAGATAAGCAACAAAAAGGCAAGAATGTATAGATAATGGAAGCTGTGCAGACGTGTCATTAATATACATAAGTGGGATAGTTAGCTGCAGTAATTCAGGTAAAGAATGGTTTGAGATATTACCATGTATATAGCGCGTCGTTCAGCCTATGCCCTTCATGGGCAGGGCACAGTCCCCCAGTTTCATGTATTTCTGCGGGCGTTGCATTAGAGGTGTAGTCGATTGGCCCAGTGACAGTGGGCCAATCGACTACGGTGACCATATCAGAATGCCCTGAAGTGTCTGTCCAGCCTCGCCAGGTCATCAAGTGCAGCGTTGGTCGGAGCATCAATACATGCTGTCTCCGCCATCTTGGGTATGCCAGTGCTTGCTTCCTCTGCCTTGTTAATTTCATTCTATTTTCCAGCATTGGGATAGGCCTGATAGGGTGGACAGGGATCACCACCGCCGGTCCGAGGGCTGGGGGTTACAGGATGTGCATGTGCCATTAACAGTCACAGGGCACCTCCGGGTTGGGAGAGTGGCCACCTCTCCTGCCTGATGTACACTAGGCCTCAATTTCACTTGTGGTACCTGCGAGTCTCGCTTGGGTTGTAAGACTCTCTGCTGCATGTCTTTAATTGTGAGGAGTGAGTGGGCCCTTGAAATTGTCTTCCTATAATAGGCAGTGGTGAGCTTATATTATAAGGAGCTCAAGCATTATGCAACTCTCCGCCATGATGGTTAGGCCCTGCCTCCCTATTTTAATCTTTAAAGATTGTTTGAAGGTTGAAACCCATAACCTCTGTATGCTAGTGACCTGGTGACATTTGCCTCACTGTCACTCTTGCCAACCCACCCACAGAATCTGGTAATCTACCTGAAAGTTTGGCAATGACTTACCAAATCCCACCCCTTGCTATGTTCCCTAGTATGTTGATAAGGAACTGTATAAAAACAAAAATAGTGATCAATGTAATATGAGGTCCACCAGTTTCTCTAAATCTTTCCTTTGCTTAAAATATTACCTTTAACCCCTTAAGGACACATGGCATGTGTGACATGTCATGATTCCCTTTTATTCCAGAAGTTTGGTCCTTAAGGGGTTAAAGTAATATGAGGTCCACCAGTTTCTCTAAATCTTTCCTTTGCTCAAAATATTACCTTTAACCCCTTAAGGACACATGGCATGTGTGACATGTCATGATTCCCTTTTATTCCAGAAGTTTGGTCCTTAAGGGGTTAAAGTTCGAAATATTCTTATGCAAATCTATATTGGTTCTATTGGTTTTCATTTTCAGAATTCATGAAATTAGCTGATCAACTAAAACATCTTACATCTGCTGGTTGATATATTTAGAACTTGTGGCATAGGATAAAAAGTGCTAAAAATCACCATGTCACCAACTCTAAGACTGATTTATCTCGTCTCTAATCTTTTGTTCCCCTTCTATGCTCTAACTCCAATTTTGATAATCTCTGGCCTGATTGTACTCATATCACAAGAAGTTTTTCACTTTCTTTTAAGTTTCCAATGTGGTGTCTCGTGGGAGTGATAAGTAACTTTTGATGTTAAAACTGGTGGTATGTTTCCTTGTATTCATTTGCAATTTTTACCAAGTCCACACTCATATTAAATGCCCACACGAAATATATTCCTTATTTTTCAGTCATCTGTTGGGACATGGTTTATTTACTGAGTGATCCACATATTTACACATCCAAGTGAATTGTGAGTACTTTTTTCATTATTATCTCTTTAATTTTGTTTTTTTCCTGCAACATTTGGGAAGCAGCACTTATAATAATAACTAATAACCAATAGTTTTACATTGCCCACACGCAATAAAGAGTTAATGGATGATGAGTGTAAGAATTCACAGTAAAACCTATTGCACAGTATATAGTGAGCTAGTGCTGGTAATAATGACTATTTTTGGCTTTTATATAGCACCAACTTATTCTGCAGCTCTTAATATTATAAATGGGGAAATTTAACAATAAACGGGACAGGTACAAAATGTTACAGATACAAGAGTTTGATGAAGACTCTGCTCAAACAAAAAATACTCTCCCTAGAGTGCAGCCATCACAATCCGCTATTCTCATCCAATTTTAATTTGCAATACACCGTAGGCAGCAGCGATGCCCCCAAACCACTTCATTAGGATGAAGTGATTGTTGTTCCTCAAGTTTCCATTTGGTTGGCTAGGGGTATCCAAGTCCTCTAGCCCAATAATAATTACAGGATTAGAGTTTCCCATGCCCAGCTCACTGATCCCAAAGCTACTAGGACTGGGGATCAAGTATAACAGGATAAGATCAGTATATCAGCTGGGTAAGGCAGTGATAATGTCCCAGCCATATCACCATACCGTTAAGTTACCTTTGGCAAAACACCTTATGATATGCACCTACCACAAATCCTCTTAGTTTGTAATATTTCTTTACCTCTAATATCCATGCATGTTTCTAGAATTGGAAAGTTTTGCAGAATATGTTGGCACTATAAAAATAATAATGTAATGTAACCAAAAAAAACTCTAGTCCTAATATAAATACTGGAAATGAAGACTCCACATGTATTTATATATTTATATAAATGACTCTTCAAGTTGGTCTCTTGTATCTTCATTTCCTAACATTTGTTATTATTTCAAAATATTTGTTTATTCCCAAAGCCTTGATATCTGATTTGGAATCAGGAAAATATTGACCGATCTTATTATATATGGATATTAAATATGTTAGTAAAACCTTATCCAAATGTCATAATATCATCTTACATCTCCAGTAATGAAAGCAGAGATTGTGCTACTTGGATTTGTCTAGCATAGACTATGAATGTTCCTTCTTTGAGTTTCGTCAGCTACAGTGACACGTTCAGTTAAATATTTTTAAATTATCATTATTTTTCTCCTCGCTTTCTCAACACACCAACACCAACTGTTCATGTGTAATACGATTTGAAAACCAGAGTTTGTTTATCGCTAAAGTGTGTGTTACAGACTTCCTTGTCATCAGAAAATCTATTTATTGTAATGTAAGAAGTTACTACTAGTGTCTTGAGGTTTAATGAAATACAGTATGCACGTTCAGATCAAATTGAATTGTCACTTCACATCTTACATTAATGAAATGATAATTACAATTAACACTCTTGTTAAAAGTCACCAGGGATCCACAGATACAAGCAATCAATGTCAGATTGCAGTTTGTTTACAACCATTAATGTTAAGAACTGGTAAGATTGCATGAAGCACTTACAATGAGAAAACATGAATCGTTCTTACATTAATACATGCAGTTTGAGTAATCAAGAACGAATCCACGGGAGCTATCAACTAACTTGTAGATGTCTGTGAACCGACAACCACATGGTAAAATTTAGGGCAAATGTTAGTCAAATAGACAAATAAGTAACAATTCTCCTGTATTGTATTTTTCCTACTAGACTATTTTCATCTAGTTGGCATTGATACACCACAATTCAAAGAATGAGGCCTTAACTTTGAAATCAACTAAATTTAAAGATGATATCCTCTCTCATTCTTAACAGCAATGGGTGGTTGTGTAAACAAAAGCAGTGGCATCTCCCGGATTCATACTTAGGGGGGGCACGTAAGGGGCCAGGGACAAAAGTAGAGTGGCAGTTATAAAACCTGTGTGTATATATATATATATATATATATATGTGTGTGTGTATATATATATATATATCTATATATATATATGATATATATATATAGATATATATATATATGAAATTTGGTGTGTAAAGGGGTGGAGCATGTATGTATGTATTTATGTATGTGTGTGCGGGTGAAGGTATGTGGGGAAGAAGTGTGTATGTGGGTAAAGAGATGATGTGTGTGAGGGGTGCACTGTGTGTGTATACAAATGTGTACTCTGTGTTGGTGGGAGTGCACTGTATGTGAGGGTTCACTATCTGTGAGGGTGTACTTTGTTCATGGGGTGTAGAGAGTGGGATAGGGAAGAGCTTTACAATTTTACTTTAATAATTGTTTAAAAAAAAAAAAAAAAAGACTATTCCCGTTTCCCTCATCTTACCTTGCAGGGAGGGGGTAGCATAATCAGATCAGTAGTGCTTGAGAACGCTGCCTATCCATCTGGTACAGGGGAGGTCACAAGATGAGAGGTATCTCTCTTGGAGCTCAAGCACTTACAGAGACTGACCATACAAACCCAGACTGACCAATACACATACACAGACAGACTCATACACACACACACACTGCCCCCTCACACACAGACTGACCCATACACAGAAAGACTGACCCCCACACACACACAGACTGACCCATACACACACTCACACACACACACACACACACACACAGATTGACCCTCCCACACAAACTGTCCCATACACACAGACTGATCCACCCCACACAGACTGACCCATACACACAAATTGACCCCCCCACACACAGACTGAACCCCCCCACCCCCCACACCAGACTGATCCCCCCACACAGACTGACCCCCCACACCCATACACACACAGACTGACCCCCTCCCACACAGACTGACTCATACATGCCCAGACTAATCCACCCCACACAGACTGACCCATACATACAGAGTGACCCCCCACACACAGTGGCATACATACCAGGGTCACAGGGGTCGCGGCTGCGACCGGGCCAGGCCCACCAGGGGGCCCGGCCGCCCCTGCGACCCGGTATGTACCCACAGGGCCAGCCTCTTCTCCACCGCACTGATGCCGGAGCCGGAAGATGACGTCATCTTCCGGCGCCGGCATCCCTACGCGGCGCGCGAGGGAGCTGAAGAGGAAGCACACAGGGGAAAGTGCTCCCTGGTGCACCGGCCGCCCAGACAGCCAGCCCGCCCAGTGACCAGCCGCCTGGAGCCCAGCAGCACCACCGGACCCCAGGGAATCCCCCCAGCACTCCAAAAGGTAAGGAGGCTGGGGGGATTAAAAAATGTGTGTGTGTGTTTGTGTGTTAGTGTGTGTGTGTGTGTGTTAGTATATGTGTGTGTGTGTGTTAGTGTGTGTGTTAGTGTGTGTGTGTGTGTTAGTGTGTGTGTGTGTGTGTGTGTGTGTGTGTGTGTGTTAGTGTATGTGTGTGTTAGTGTGTGTGTGTGTGTTAGTGTGTGTGTGTTAGTGTATGTGTGTGTTAGTGTGTGTGTGTGTTAGTGTGTGTGTGTTAGTGTGTGTGTTAGTGTATGTGTGTGTTAGTGTGTGTTAGTGTTTATTTGTGTTAGTGTGTGTGTTAGTGTGTGTGTCAGTGAGTGTCTGTTATTGGGTGTGTGTCTGCTAGTGAGTGTGTTTGATGTCTGTTAGTGAGTGTGTGTTTGTCAGTGAAAGTGTATGTTTTGTAAGTGAGTGTGTGTATGTCTGTCGCTGAGTGTGTCTCTGTCAGTAAATGTGTGTGTCTGTTAGCT